GCTTTAGGGATGGCTTTCTTGTTTTAGGAGATTTTTCAACAGAGACACTGTATTCGCCGGAAGCCCTACTGCTGCTCTTGGCCACTACCTGGGCCTCATCCTGGTCCTCGTCTTCGTTCTCGTCCTCGTTCTCGTCTTTGACTTCCTCCATATCCTGGTTCTCATCCATATCCTTGGACTTGCCCTTGTCCTCGTCCTCGTCCACGTCCTCGTCCATGCCCTGGCCCTCGTCCTCATCCGTGTCCGTTGCTGGCCGTGGGTCGGGGAGGTACGTAGGATCTTCATCTTCATCGTCATCAGGAATGAGGCCAGAAGCATCATTATCATGATCTGCGGACAGGGCGATCGCCATTGGTTACCTAATGACGAGTATTAAGCAAAAACGAAAACAAAAAAACAGTACGTCGGAAGAAGGATCGTTCGGGTTACTCAACGATGCGCTACAGTGCCAGACCTATCGGAGTTGCGATTCTTATGCCGAGGGGACCGAGACATAATGCGCCGGTGGTCAGAGGCGAACCAGGGTACTTTTGGCTCCGAAGCTAACGCCTTAGCCAACTAACCCACATGGCCAAGTGGCTGTTTAACCAAGGGGACATCGATTCATGGGGCGTCGGTCTACTGACCCTGCTCGGTGCTAGGGTACGGGCAAGTGCATGGTTGGCCCTAGTTACTCTGTGATGCATACTACATGGGATCACGTTGGTGCGTGTGTCCAATTCAGGGCCGTCGACCACCTGCTGTTCACCTGGTAAATACACCCGCACCCCAAGTTTGCGCATCAAACTCCCAGCGGGATGCGCAACAATCGCCGGGTGCATCCACGCCGTCCGTGGAGCCTTGGTGCCTCCACGCACCATCCCATATCACGAACGGAGTGCGGCGACGAGGTCATATCGCGGCCACCAGCAGCCCACCATGGGGTATGGCGGTCCCATAGAGCACCTCAGTGCTGCGCAACGATTACTTACAGCCCTTGGTGCTTTCGGCGCCGCGTGGGGTTGCGCGCGCGCGCGCCTCGTCCATGTTCGTTGCTGGCTGTGGGCCGGGCACGTACGTCGAATCCTCATCATCGTCTTCTGCGAATAGACCAATGGCGGTTGGCTACCTGATGATCATTATTCAGGAAAAAATATAACAAAAAATCGTTGGCAGGCAGGACGCTCGGGTTATTCAACAATGCACTAAAGTGCCGGACCTATCGGAGTTGCGATTCCCATGCCGACGGGACCGAGACACAACGTGCTACTGGTCCGAAACAAAAAAGAGAAAACATTGGACATGGTAAGTTTGAGGCTTACTTATGTCACCGCGACCAGCCTGGCGGACAGCAGATTCTAACATCAGCGTATTTGTCACTATGGCAATTGAAGAGAAAATCTGGCGCAGAAGCCACGTGATATTTAAGCGAGATCAGGCCTAAGGCTCGGCGGGAGCCATTTAGCGATCTGACTACAGCTGGCGGCCGAGGGAGCGAATGGCTGCCCCGGCTGCGCCTCGCCGCGGCCCGTGCGATGGGGAGATGGCTTAAGGACTTTCAAATTCGAAAAATTTTGTATGGCAATGCGTATGGCCGGTGTCGGCCATGCATGTAAATGCCCATGGCCATTCGCACGGCCATAACAGCTGTGGCTGTTGTGGGTCGACTGGCAGGCAACTACGTGCGCGACGTGCGACAACTGTCGACAACGGTCGACGCGTGACAACTGCGTCGCGCCGGAGAAGCACCAAGATGTGCTGTTTGTCTGGAGCCACTCAGCTCCAGATAAAAACAAAATCAGAAGCTAGCATCCCTATTGGCTTTGGACGGCGCTGTGGCCATAGATATCCGAACAATCGGACAAGCGAACGAACAATCGAAGGAAACCACCCACCGCGCACGGCGGACATACTCTGACACATTAACGGAATGTACATCATACGTGTCAGCGCAACACATTTCAAAGGTGTGTACCATTGCGCTCAGAATTAAACAAGAGAATACGTCTGTTTAAGCGTTGCTTCGCCTCATAGCTGGATTTCCGAAACACGGCCATTCAGTTACTTCAATTTTCCGGCAAAATTGACCTTCAACCTGGCCTAGTGAGGTCAGTTCTTGACTTGGGAACAAAAGGCTGAAAAAATCGCGAGACCACATTGACACCAATCTACTATTGTTCGTCCGGATCTAACTTTCTTAGCTTGTCTAACTTTCTCAGCTTGAAAACGGAAGGGAGCGATAGCAACTTTTGCCTTTTTGTCGCCTTTTGGATTGGACTAGGTATACGGAATGAAATCAGTACCCTTCCGCCAGTCGTGCACCGCATTTCACATGATCTCGATTTCTTGAGCAGTTTGTGATCTTATGAGTAAATTTACCTGAAGCTGGTTTTCGTCTTGTAGTTTTCTGTTTCACCACTGAAAGAGGAAAACCAAAGATCATGATTTCTATGAACAGTTTCTTTCACGGACGGAACAAAAATGTTCGTGATGACTGATATCTTGGAAAGTACAAAAGAACCACTTTATATTTAACTAAAAGCAGGCAAAAAACAATGACGACACACAAGCTGCAAAACGTTACGAAACAAAGCAATGAGCAAATTTCCTGCGCAGGGCAGTTGGGATTTGCAGCAATAACAGACAGCCTATACCATGACACATTATTTTGTTAGGTGGTATCTACCACTGATCAGTTTTAAACCCAAACAGAGCACAATCACCCTTGGTTGCTACACCCACTCTCAAAGGGCACTGTGCGATCTGATGCTCTGAGCTTATGCTGCTGCTCACGCTTCATTCAACGGTTTAAGAAACGCTTTTTATTTTAGTCCATGTACCAACCTTTCTCAAAATATGACCGGATTAGGCTTGGAGGCACTCTTTCTCTCGAAACCCATGTAGGAACTCTGAAATAAGTTGAGAAATGTGAGAATGCACGCCAATTAGGCAAGCAGAAGACAACTAGTGGCCAGAAGTGGCACATGAAAAAACTTGAGGGGCCCCGGAGTGGCCAGAAGGGGCCTTAAGAATAGTCAGATAATTCTGTATTTGTAAAATCAAGCAAACAAACGTTGGCTCTTATTTTATACGATCATTTTCTCATGCGCGAGGAAACAAAGCATTTAGGAGACTCCGGAGCATCCTGGAGACCCGCTTCATTACATTTCATGACGCTATTTTTATCATACAATCATACCCTCGCCTAACGATCATGACACATCAGCATGGAAGACGTCAGGGCTGGTTGCTAGCATAGCCGAAAAGCCACGCCTTCCCAGGGCACGCGCGTGGGTATACATAGCTCACGTGTCTTTGGTTGCACCACTGCAAGGCATGGGTAAGAGAACCGGGGATGAATAGGGGCAGGGGCTAAAACCTACATGTTTCTGAAAATTTAACATTGGTCCTTTGAGCGTTCACTGGAAAAATAGTCCATTGACTACCATCTTTTGCTTGGTTGGGTAATCGGTGGCTGGACCGCTGGGCGCATGGCTCGTAGGGTTTTCCACGGCACGCACATTGGTCATGGGTTTTGTCGAGGTCTTTGGAGAAAAGGGGATCGGACAGCCCGTTTGCCTCCCATCTCGGCACCGCCCATGTTCATTTTCAGGTAAGTATAACAATGTTTATATCGGTTTATTCATGCTCTGAAGAGTTATGCCAAGAAACGCATAGACGAAGCACTCAAGTCATTCAGTCTTTCACTGAATGTCTTAAAAATCGGCGCACGGCTGTTCAAACGAAACGCAATGCAGGAGTGTCATTCACTGAGGTCCTACCAACAAGGATCACTTGTTAGCTCGATGAGATTGGGACACTGTATGCTCTTACCTGAAGCCACTATACTTCACCAGTATAAACATGCCATCTTTGCTAGTGGTATGATGAATAACTTCAAGCGGTATGATTGGTGCCTGTAACAATGAGCACAAGAATTTGTAAAACACAACACATTTTGGTTGCCTTTTGACTGTACCAAACAGGTAGAGAAACATGCGTTAAGCCGCGCGTATAGGAAACCAGACGTACGGAGTTCGATTCGCTGCCTGGTCCAGCCTTCCTCCCAGGGCAGACGCCATAAACTGGGAAGAGAAGGCTGACCACTGAACTGGGATTGCCTGCATCACAAGTCGGTGGGGAGCTAAAGTCGTCCACCGGTAACGTCAAGATTTCAAAAGATCAATCACGCAAGACCCGTCAACCCTGTTCACGTGTCTGTTCACACATAAAATGCATGAATACAATATCATCAAGTCTGTTTACCAGAAATCTATCAGTTCCTGGAATGCCACCTTTTTGGCCGCCATGCTTTCTTCCATGAAGTGAATGCCACTTTCCATCACAAGCTACCATTACATCACTTGGTCAAGGGAATGGTATTAGAAGGGAAAACTTTATTCATCGCAGGTCTCCGAATCGCAAGAGCAAATAATACCGATTAAGAGCAATGGCAAATGAATGGCTTTCTTAAAGATGAGTAGGGGACGGTAATAAAATGAGACGAATCCCACCTTGCTTTTTATTTTTATGTCATAATTCTGCATGGTTTGCACGGGTGGGTTTGGGTTCAGAGTACTTGCTAAGTATTGCTTGTCGCGTATACCCTGAACCCACCACCAAAATAGTGTCAAGTTTGTTTTCATGCCAATCAGACCCAGTGACCCTAGTGTTTAGGGCCAGTACACCGGTTATGTCATATCGGTAACACCTGACCAGCCCGAACGAAAGCCAGAAGCTTACTTAGTATGAAACAGAAGGTGTTTTTAAATGTTTTACTCGATCAACCCGCGCGCTTGCGTATGAAACAGAAGGTGTTTCAAAATGTTTTACTCGATCAACCCGCGCGCTTGCTAAGCAGTTTAGGCCGTTTATCTTACAATTTTGTAAATTGACATGCGGAAGGAATGACCATTCAAAGCATCAATAATTATTACCAAGGTTGTGAAATATTTGCATCTGTCTGTCGAATTTTTATAGCTGCTAATGCGAGCTGAGGATGAACCAAAAACACCCAAGATTAAACGTATATCGTTCTTCAACTTTTGAACAGCACTTTTGAACAGCACACCGGAACCGACGATCAAAGGCCCGTTTGGAGGGTATAAGGGTCTACAGGACTGACTGTAAGTCACGTAAAGAATCGCGGCCCGCAGGGTCCTGACTTGAAATACTACTCAGAGGTCCCTTGCACCGTTTTAGGATCACCCCTCCCCCACACCAGCCACGGCCGCCGGCCGTTCGGGTTCGGAGGAGTTCGGGGTCCCGTCTCCGTCCATGTTCAGCAAATGTTTCTCTGGATGATTCAAGGCCCCTTGTTGACACAAAGTGTTCTGTTAGGCACGGTGGGTACCTAACCGACACAGAAGCCCTATATTGTTGCAGGGTCCCGACCAATGAAAATCGCAGGCCCGGCTTTGTCCCTTGTTGGCAAATGGGTCTCCAGAGCTCAGACTGATACGGAGCCGACTGTTTGATGTTGGTGATCTCTGGCCGAACTAGTGGAGTGAATTGTTTCAGGGGTCCCTAATCAGTGTAAGAGACCCTCTGACCGATATTTTAGGTCACGATCCTATGGGCCGGGATCCTTTATGTGACCGGCAACCAGCCCCTAATGCTCCCCAATCTGGCTCTTGATCGTCGGTTTCCGTGGGCCACCGGGCCCAGGTGGGCTTTCTGGGTCCCCGGGTCCAGGCGGGTTTCGGTGGGCTTCATCCCTCATTGCTCACTGCCCTTGGTCAACTCGGGACCCCCCGTCAGGCACTATGGCCACGTTACAGACGCTGGGGTCCCGAACAATGTAAATTGCTGACCCTGGCTTTGTTCCTGCTTGGGAAACGGGCCCTCAAGCATTTGCCTATACCCAGTCAACTGCGCAGTACTGGTGGTGTTGGACCGACACATAGGCCCTTATCGACTCCGCCCCCCCCCCCCCCCCCCCCCCGCCCATCGGCGCAAAGGGCCTTCTGGCTGGATTAGAGTGCCTGGGCTGCGGGCCGGGGCCCTGAATACCAAATCAAGCCGGCCTTTCGGGTCCTTCGGTTACTCAAATCGTCCCTTTAATCTCCCCCGAGGAGAGGCACGTGCTCCATGTGTCACCGGCTGCCTGCGCCACTGCGCCGGATGTGTTTTATCGCCCGCGATGGCGCCGGCTGGTCCGGCCCGCGTCAGCGCCCCTGGCGGCGGTCGCGTAAAACTCACCGCTGGCCTGCCTCTTGCGGCGTAGTCACCGTCACGTGCTGCACGATAGATTGTCGGGAGGGGGGGGGGGGGGGCGGCGCAGGGAAGGGCACCCCGACGTTTCCGGCGCCTGGGAGTCACTGACTCGCAACGTTCTAAGTTCGCTGGTGATCCGGTCCATTCGAAGCACGAGGGTTGTGGTCTGCCGACCAGTGACTCCGTATCGATGACTCACGATGACTCAGTGCGGCCGGGCGGGACCGATGCACGAGGCGTGAGAACTGCACTCCACTGCCGGGCCGGCTGCTTCCAGCGGCGGCTGATCACTGTTGCGGCGTGTGCCGGCCGCGGCTGATGCAACCACCGAGCTGGCCCCGTGGCGCGCGCCTGTCACGCCCCCGCCATGTTCCCGGCCCGGGCCCGATCAGCCCTGGCCCGAACCTGCCTCCAACGGACACTGCCGTGCCGCGCTGGTAGGCCCCCCTGCGCACCTCCATCACACCGGTCCCCACCGCAGCCCTCGGCCGACGAAATGACCTAACCTGGCAGGTCCCTGACCTGGCGGGCTCCCCTGACCTGGCAGGCTCCCCTAACCTGCCAGGCTCCCCTGACCTGGCCGGCTTCCCCGGTCTGGCAGGCTCCCCTGACCTGGCAGGCTCCACTGACCTGGCAGGCTCCCCTAACATGGCCGGTTCCCCCGGTCTGGCAGGCTCCCCTGACCTGGCAGGCTCCACTGACCTGGCAGGCTCATCTCAGTTGGTTTTTCATCAACGTGGTAAGCGTTGGAGTTGCCACGCAAGGACATTATGACGAACCCTGTGCGGCCAAATGTAGTAAATTTCTTTGGTCAAGGCCAGGGGATCGTGTGCGCTTTCTGTGCATCGGTAGCTGTAAGTGAGCATATTTCATCATATCTGATGCTTGCTTAAATATTTTCAAATGGTGGAACATTCTCTTTCAATTGACCCCAAACAAGTACATCTTACAGGACAGATTGGCGACGATCAATGCATCGGTCTTTGCCATTAACCCTGGCTTACGCATTATGATAATTACCAGAAGTGATAGTAAGTACCATGCACCCAAACGAACATTTCACATGTGATAACATTGGTATTTGCCCTTAACCCTACCTTACGCACTATGATAATTACCAGAAGTGATGGTAAGTACCATGCACCCAAACGAACATTTCACATGTGATAACATTGGTATCTGCCCTTAACCCTACCTTACGCATTATGATAATTACCAGAAGTGATAGTAACTACCATGCACCCGGACGAACATTTCACATGTGATAACAATGGTATTTGCCCTTAACCCTACCTTACGCACTATGATAATTATCAGAAGTGATAGTAAGTACCATGCACTCGAACGAACATTTCAGATGTGATAACAAATCCGTGACCTTAGAGGTCATTCATTAGCCCGCACGGAAAAATCAGTACATGTACACAACCAGAAGACAAGAAAGCACACAGATGGTCACGAGTTGTTCTGCTCCCCTCAGCGCCGCGGAAAGTCCAGGCTCGCCCCCACGTGTACGGGGGACAGCGGTATGACGTGTTCACAAACGTGTTCGTCCGGCACGGTGCTGCGATGCCGGCCCTCGCCCGGCCTGTACGACGGGCCGTAGCTGGTCCTGGCTCGCCGTCTGAGAACGGTGGCCGTGGACCGTGGTCACCGTCTCGACGTC